AATTAATTTTTCCATCATACAATAAATATTTCTATATTTATCGTTGATCAATATGAGGTAGCGTAAGAATGTTATAAAATTGTCACTAAGGTAAGCTGTGTCTCTGATTCCTAATTTCAGTACCATTTGCAGTGGTTGCCAAGTGATGAAATTTATTTACCATTATTGGAAATACAAATGTTTAAAACTGGTAAATATAAGAAAATATTGGAGGATTCGGATTTGAGGGTCTGATGGGAAAGGAGAACTGATTCCTTAGTAAAATCTCTCACATTAAACCTTAAACTCGTAGTTGTACTAGTTTCCACTTTCAAACAAGCACTTTCCACAGATCCAATTTTCGTCTCATAGAAAACAGAAGAAACTGATCTAAAACCGATCAACGCCAACTTTGGAATTCTAAAGCAATGTAGCTTTTACCTAATAGGTCAGTAAAAGTTCTCATACATCGATTGATAGAAGAAACTAGCGGATCCGGGATTTAATTTGTTTTTGGAGGGGGCTTCGGCCCAAAAGCTTCTATAAATATTAATTTTTACTTTAGGAGAAAAATAAAGAAGCTAAATATCTATATGAAATGGTGTTTAATTGATTCTTGAAGTCATATAGATGTAATTACACGAACAATTATACTTTTTGAGATAATTTTTGTTTACTTATTTCATAAAACGAGGTTATATTTTACTATTTTTGGAAGCTTCGGCCTGTAAGTCCCCTTCCCTCCCTAGATCCAACTGTGATAGGAGATGAGACCAGGGATCTCCATACTTTTTGGCCTGCGGTTCACATTGAGACCTGGACTAAGTTCCGCGGGCCGCACTGAGACTTCCATCGAATGGCATGTGATAAAAAAAAAATCGTATTATAAAATTGACACATACGCTGTAAAATGAGCTTTCTAAGAGAAACAAAACCACGCAATAAATATTTTACTAACCTCGTGTTTAAGTAATTTGTTAAATTTCATACAAAATCATTTTAGTTTTTAAGCTGCAGAATTTCGAGTATTTCTTGATAAGTGTAGCAGAAAACATCAATTGGTACGAGGCTCTAAGACTGGAAAATTCAGTCGCAGTTATGTTGGTTTTTCTGGCATTAAGGACTCTCGATTCACAAACTTATATGCAATTTGAAATTTCTAGGGCCTCAACTAGCACTTTTCCGACAGAAGACGTCATAATCAACTTTGTTAGGCAAAGGAAGATAGTCTTCATCGTTTCCAGAGACGTTGTTTCTTCTTCAGACACCACTCAAAACCATCAAACGGCATCATTCAAGCCGTACTGACCATCCTGAAGGAAGAGCACCTAGGGTAATGCTGTCATCGCACACCAATCCCTGTCTCATCACTTTCTCCCATTACCTACTCATGATTTTTAACAATCAACCGCTATCGCAATCAAAATCTTCTCCTTTCCGGCCACCCTTGCATCAGCATGTTTCCCTGCTAGCAGATCCATATCCAAAGTCCAGTTCAGTTCCCACCTCATCACTTCATCCGTGCAGACTTAAATGCTAAGCATCAAGAATGGGGTTCAAGAAATACGAATTCTAGTGGCAGAACATTGTGCTCTGCACTCAATTCATAACGTTCCTTTCACCCAACTCACCTACCTACTGTTCCACTGATCCTAACCCCAATCCTGACATCCACAGTGGTTAAGATCCCCTCAATCATTCCCTTACCTTATTGACGAACTTTCCTCAGATCATAGTCCATTAATTCTTTAATTCTCAATAGCTTCTATTCCTAAATCTCCTAAATCACCGTCCTTCATCAGAGGCTCAGTTAACTGGAAAATCTTTCATCGATTCCTTTCCGATAAAATTGACCTCAGAATATCCCTGAAAACCCCAGAAGACTTTGATAATGGCTTACATTCCTTTGCTACAACTATTAAATTGGCTATCTGGACTTCTACGTTCCCAAATCTCTCCTAAAAATTCCAAAGAAAAATAATTTATCTCAATACCTGATAGACCTAATCCACATGAAACGCCGTGCCAGAATATTATGGCAACGCTCAAGACATCCTACCGATCGCCGCTCAGATAATTATTACAGTAAACGATTAATGCATCGATTGGCCACCTTCAAATCCCAATCCTTCAACTCCTACCTTACTTCTCTCTCTGTTCATGACAATTCCCTGTGAAAGATCACAAACATAATCCTAAAATCCCATAATATTTTCCACTCCATCCGTCGCTCCTGGGACAAAGCTGATGAATTCACCAGACAACTCTCCAGAACATTTACCTCTCATCCGGAATCCAACCACACCCATACCGCAACAGTAGAAGAATTCCTTACATCACCCATTCCACTTTCCTTAGCTCCTAAAACAGTTAATCCTCCTGGGGTCAAGCATCACTTACAAAAACTTCCTCTCCGTAAATCTCCTGGATACGACCTTCTTACCTCTCAAATCATCCGACAACTTCCTCCTAAAGCTGTTATATTTCTATCTTTCCTATATAATACGCAGAACCACTAACCACTAAGAAACACCCACTGTCCTGTTTTGTGAAAACATTCCACAATTATCCTATTTCAAAAACCAGGAAAACCTCCCAGCACATCTACGTCCTACAGACCAATTAGCCTACTTCCAATCCTCTCAAAAATCTTTGAAAAATCTTAGATTCTTCTGAAACGAATCCTACCCTTTATAGAATCGCAAAGTCTTCCTTCTAATCAGTTTTTTATTTCGTCCACAACACTCTACAGTCCAACAATGACTCCCAGTAGTCGATAAAATATTGCTCGGGTGAATTTCTGGACATAGCTCAAGCTTTCGGCCGGATAAGGTACGCCGGGCTTCTTTGTAAACTGAAAACCCATCAACCCCAGTCCTTGTACGTAATCCTCCACTCCTACCTCTCTGATCGCATCTTTGAGTTCGCCGTGGTACAGAATTTTCCAATTCCTACCCAGGTGAATCCGGCATTCCCCGAAGTAGCGTCTTGGGCCCCGTCCTTTGTATCATTTTTACAGCTGATATCTCTGTCCATCCATATCTTTGCTAATGACACCGCCATCCTATCACTTGACTCAGATCGTGAAATAGCTTTCTTAAATCTGCAAAGAATTCTCTCCCTGATTGAGCATTGGTGTAATAAATGGTGCATCAAAAGAAACTAATCCAAATGCAAACACTTTACCTTCACGATCCGGCGCAGATCCTGCCCACAAATCCACTTTAATTTCCAACCAGCTTCCTTTTTCAAACACAGTCTGGTATCTAGGCTCTCTCTTAGACTGAAGATTAACATGGAACCCACTTACTAGACTTAAAAAACAATGACTTAACAGACGATGCGGCCAATTATACAGACGACTGAGTAAAACATCTCAGTTTTCAATTGACAACAAATTACTGATCTACATGGCAATCCTGAAACCAATTTGCACCTACTGACTTGAAATTTCAGCGAAATTTTCTAACATCAAACGCATCCCTTCAGTCAAAAGTCCTCTGAACAATAGGCGATGCTCCGTTCTGTGCAACTAACAAAACTCTACATCATGACCTTAATATTCCATTTGTCCTGGACCTTATCCCTGAAAATTTTTCCTAATTCCATTAGAAACTTACAAATCATCGATATCTTCTTGCACAATCCCGATCTAGTTGCACTCCTCCCTACAACTCCACTCGAGTCCTGCTGTTCCCTCTAAAACTGGAGGGACAAGCATGGCTTGGGGTTCCCTGCCTAATTGTATGACTAGGTATGACTGTGATTTTATGTTTTAATTTATTTATATATAGGTTATTTTATTTTTCATTTTACATATTTTTTTATTAATTCTTTTGTTAATTTTATGTTTTCTGTATATATGGTGTGCATGTGTCTTTATCTCACTATAATTATTTTCCACGTGACAGATTATTATATATCTAAATAAATAACAAAATAAAATAAAAAATTGGAATCAGGAAAAATGGTCTATGCCAGTTTATCAATTCTAGTCGACAAACTTTGGATAGTCCATGGGCTATATATATATATATATATATATATATATAATATATATATATATATATATATATATATATATATATATATATATATATATATATATATATATAGCCCATGGGAAGAACAAAATACATCAATATTGTGGGTCAGGAAATAGCTAAGAAAGGCAAATACATTAATATTTTATTTACAAATGTTTTGAAGGAGCTCATAGACAGATTTATGGCATCAAATATTTTTAAATTTTCAAACGAAACGCAAGAAATTATTCAATAAATTATTAATAAAATTAAATATAAGCCTTTCATGCTAAATTTGGTTAATTAATTCCAAAGTTTGTCGACTAGAATTGATAAACTGGCATAGACCATTTTTCCTGATTCCAATTTTCCAATATATATATATATATTGCTTTATTTAGATTAGATTGCAAAGAAAATCTATAGGACCTTATAGATCGTTACTTTCTTTTGATAATCCCTAATATTTTCTAAATATAGCCAGAGTGTCCCTTCCCCTCTAATAATCATTTGTTTAAACGTAATACACAATAGAGTTCAATAAATCCTACATGGAATAATTAACTTTCAGGTAATAAACTAGTAACAGTGCTACTCCTTTATGTACGGAACACTAACCTTCCATTATTCTTAATGGCAGGGGCGGTGGTATTAAGTCATTGGATGAAAATGGGGAGGGGTCGTCTTTCTTTCTAATTCATACTACCAGAATAACACACTTAAATACATTTTTTTCTTCTGTGATTAATTAAACTTTTTTTTAATGATAATTATTATCAGTATTATTTATTCAACTTTTTCATGAGTTATTATTAGGTACATAACAATGAATAATTAGTGAAGGAAGAGGGAAAAGACACTCTACCCCTTCTTACAACATTGATGGAAGCAGAGACTGCCTGGTCATCCTCGGTGGTGGTGTATATGGCTCAATTTCTACGATTTTGTAAGTAATCCATTGATACGACAAGACAGATGAATTGAGTATTATATATATATAAAATAAAAAATAAGGAGTTTTTTATTTATTTAATTTTGCTAGTAGGTAACAAACCATTCAAACAACATGGGTGTTGTGTTGTAAATTTTGTATAAGGGATACAATAGTTGTCACAGATGTTACAATTCTTCAAAATAACCCTGATGTAATAAGTTGTGCATGGTTTCAGACCTTCTATATCTAGGATTTTATTGAAGTCTAAGGTCTTTCCAACGAATAATTCACGCCATGTCTCTTCATACACCAACTAAAAAAAAAATAATAATACAATGATGATGAATAATACAATTTAAAAAATATTCTCATTAAATTGTGTAATAAATGCAATAATTTTTTTTTTGACACTTGCAATTAGTAGCTGTAAAAAGGTACATATTGTAATTTTTAACATTCCAGAGGATCTCCTACCTCACTAAATCAATATATTGATAAAACATACTAAAACATTTCTTATTCTACTTGGGTTACTCATCGGGGTTTTTAAATATATTTATTGAGTAAAACATGGTTACTTGATTAAAAAAAATATATTAAAAATCTAAACGAAAAAACGTCAAAATTAGGAACTTGAACATTAAATTCTGTATACCATTTGATAATTATAATAGGGGCAGCTAAAGCTAGGATCGCTATAACTGTCGCGATACCCCTCTCTTGTAAACGTGCATTAAAAATTAAAGGAAAGATTAATGACAGAAAAGGAATGGCAAGGACTGACCTCGCGTTCAAAAAACAACGACTTCGCTCCTCTACTGAAAACTTTTTTTTACATTCAATTTTTCTTGAAACCATAAAAGAGATCCATTCCTGCCAACAAAACAAGTTTTGGATGGAGCAGTGAATGTAGAATTATTTATTAAAAGAAAATAGTCAATTTTGACTGTTGACCAATACTTTTGGCAAAGGCTGTAAATCAGGAGGTGAGAAAGTGAAAACAGCCAGTTTTTGGACTACATTCTCTATCTTGCAAATAACCACAAAAACGAAGTAAAATGATAGACATTCAAAACAAATTAAATAATAAAACCCTCTTTTCAATTCTGGCATGTTCTTTATCACTTGTAATAGGCTTGGTTTTTTTATTTTGATATTGTACAATAGCTAACATCTCATAAGCAGGTAGACATTATAAGAGATTATCTATGGAACTTTAGTTATGAATTTATTGCTGATCTGTAAAAAATTCAAGACGAATCCGATATCGAAATCCCTAAGTATGAAAAAGTTGTTTTGCCTCTTTTTTTAGCCGTGTTGACTATGATTTATTTGCAGTAAATTAACCGTGAAAACTACATTTATTGAAATATTTAGGAAAGCGTACCTATTTCAAATAGAGATGCTTTATGTATGTTAAAATCTGAGTGAATGGAGAAGTTATTCCTATAAGTTAACTTATAGCTAACCTTTATTTGCACCGCGTATATATGATAGTGCATTGGCTTAGTCCAATTAACATGGATTTTCGCACTGTTTTCTCCTAAAGAAATTACGATGGGTGGACCTACAAAACAAGCAAGACAATTAAATCATTAAAAAATTGTTGATCATTTAACACATTATCAAATAGATTACCTGGTGACAGTTGGACCCACATTTCATCTGGAACGCAAAATATGAATAAATTGATAAGAAAAGAGGATTAAGATGGTTATATATATGTATATGTGTGTGTACACATATATACCTATATATGTGTGTGTGTGTGTGGAAAGATCCAAATAACAAAGCCATGAGTCTTGTACAAACAGTGAATAGTTTACTTGCCAACGTTTCGATAAGATCTCTACTGCAATAATTTCTTTTCCTTTCTGATGTTGTTAATGACGTTTTCTCTGCCCTGGTGATGGCAAGATAACTATTAATTTTATGTTGGAGATTAATGGCTTTGTTGTATGGATTTTTCTACTTATAACATAATCACCTTATGTTTCTTATTTATCTTTATACATTTTTTTTATTTTTGGCCTGGCATTACAGGCCATGTAAATCGTTTGCCGCCTTAACAAGCCGGCTCCATATCCCCATGTCTTGGGCTATTTCTTTCCATTTATCTGCACGCTGCTCTATTTCGTCTTTGTTGATTTTATCTGTCGACCTGCCTTTTTTGCCTTCATTGACGCATTCATTGTTACCTACAGGCTTCAAGATGGACTGCAACGAGCTATATGCCCAGCCCATCTTAACCTTTGTGCCTTCTTATCATGGTCTATTGATTGACCAATTTCTGTAAGCAGTTCTTATCTTGTCCATGTGTCTTTCTTCTCCATGTGTTAGTACTCTGATCCCAGATCTCTCCGGTTATCGTACACCCTTAATTTGAGATTTTTTGGGATTTCTATACCTATGAAAAGGGAAGAAAGCTTGGTTTGTGTTGGGAACAGGGGTATTTAAAATTAAAATACAATTGTTTCCCAGGTGAGTTTCCTCAAAGGTGGGGAAAATACGAATGGTGGGAAAGAAGGGTAAAAAATAGTGAATATGAGACCTGTAAAACATGGAAAAGCATGCACGTTAAAATATTATAAAATAGAAATACTCATTTACTCATTTTCAATTTCCTTTTTTCTTAGCTATTAACCATAAGTGATCGCAAGAAAAAGTTCTGAAGATGGAAAAGATTTCCTGAAACGCCAACAAAAAAGAAAATGTAACAAATCCCAGATTTACTTGCATTAAAGGAAGTTTTTATTGCCAACATCCTAATAAAATATTAACTAAACATTTTTGTATTTTTAGAGTAATTTTTAGTGTGATTTTTATAGAGTGTAGACTTGTAAGTTATTATTTAACTCATATGAAAGAATTTACCTGAAAGTACAAAATCAGGTACATCATTATCACCGGGATCTGAAACACAGAAAGTAAATAATTAAAAAAAAACTGACATCATACTTTTTTCGCCTTCTCTTTCTTTCGTTACTTTTGCGAGAAGGGAATATTGGACTCGCCAACAGTAATTCAGTGTTACAAAATATCTGCCCTTTTATTCTATTTCGGCCTCAATGTTTCTAATATGTTATTATAATCTCCAAAGAAACTATTCTATGTGTCGACACCTACCATTAACTTGGGTTCAGTTGGGTTTTCTGTATCCAAAAGGGTATGAATACCCCAATATACTTCATTTTTTTTTATATCTCAGTCCCTGAATAACACCACATATGACTATCCTGTATCAATACACTGTCCTATGTGTATTTCGTTTCCTTTTTGTTGGTCCTTTCATGGCTGGAGTCGCTTAACATAGTTGCCACGTGGATGATCCAAGTGAAGTGCTAACACAGGGTATTTATGGACTGGGTAGGAAGGTTCGGCCTTACAGAAAACCTGGTAGACATCTATCGTAACAAAACCAAAAGAGCTAAATGTACAGTTTAACAATGTTATCGAAAACGTATGTATGCTAGGGTCCCACAAGTTTTTGGCAACAAACAAGGGAATGCATAGCGTATTTCTCGCCGATTGTTTATAAAACAATTTTATAGTTATTCTACATTTAAAAAAAATCAACACATCATTGTCCGTTTTATTAAACGGACCCAACGAGCTCAGAAAAAAATTAAATAAATACTTCTGAAGCTGTTTTATTTTTTATTTGTAGTTTAATAAATAATATCGACATGGTTTAAGTAGGTTAAAATAAACATAAAAATGTTAATAAACATTTGCTTGTTGACCAGATAAATTTCAATCAATGTTTTAATTATTAAGTAAATTAGCCTTATAGATTTAAAAAAACACACAAAAAAAAGATAACTTATTTTGATCCAATATACGAATAAGTCGTTATGTAGAAAACATATATGTTAAAGGTAGTCAATATTAAATGAAACAAATATTAAATGTAAGATAAATGAAAAAAAAAATTATGTTTCTGAACAAACTAAGGCAATTACTTTATTTTCTTAAACTTATTATTTCGATTTAATTCAGATAATGTTTTTATATTATAACTTGTATCTCTATGGTTTAGAAACTGATCTATCTTGGAACGTAACAGTAAATTTAAATTTATTTGAAACTCCGGGTCCAATTTAAATTATTATAAGTGATATTATTATTATTATTATTCAATCGTCTACCTTTAGGTGTAGATTTTTTTCACAAGGATTTCCATCGGTCTCTGTCGAGGGCTGCTCTCCTGGCTTCCGGCCATCCATTCCCTTTAGCATTAAGAATATTTTTGAGATATCATCCCAAGCAATTCTTGGTCTTTCTCTAGGTTGTTTTCCCGCTGGTTTAGCCTCCATTGCTTTCCTCACTGAACGCAGTCATCCATCCTCTCAATACATGACATCAAAGCTGCCCTCTCTATATTATCTTATTGAGGGGTTCAAGTTTGAGTGTAGTACGTACCGTTTTGTTACATATCCGGTCTCTCTTGGTCTTTCTTTCTATTTTCCTCAGATACCTCATTTCCATGCTTTGGAGGCGGCTACGATCACGTTGCTTTAGGGCCGAGGCCATAAGTCAGGATAAGAACGAACATCAAGCTATAGATGGTTAATTTTGTTTCTTTTGCCACTCTATATTTTTCTCTCTATTTTGGCCATAAGAAGTGGGCACGTTAGTAGTTGACTTTTTTTCTTATTTAGATCTACTATAATTATATTAACAATTGAAAAAAAAATTCTTAAAAACTTACTTCTACAGATATAGTTTACAAAAAGATAATTGCCAGAAAATCCACAATGAGTTCCGAATTCAGCTCTTGTAACGAAGAAATCACATACATTTTTGTTATTACACCTGAATGAACAGATAAAAATATTAAAAAGAGATTATCAATTTCTTAAAAATATGATTTCTTCTACTATAAATTATAGTAATAGTCCTGGAATCTTTCGCAAAAAAAAAGGTGTCTTGTTTCATACTTAGGTTTGTCCCAATAAATTGACCATTTCCACAGCCCTAATGAGAAAAATACACCTCTGCCAGCATATAGCCGCTAGCATACAAAATGGCGGCCAGGTGAAGATAGATAGACACTCTATAAAGTTAGAAAACTTATATAGAGATAGGGCTTATAGATATAGAAAACCACGAAAACTTGAAATGTAAGTTATTTACAGTCCTGAGACGAGAAATAATAGTCAGTGGTAACTGACCCGGAAAATTGAAAGTCAAAAATTTAAATACAGGATTTCAAAAGTTCACTGTTTTCGGTTTTTTGAGCTGACATCAGTGAAACTATTCGTTTTAGCGGGAAAAATAGCTGTGTAATAACGAAAATTAAGTAAGTTATTCTGTATAGTATCGGAGTTTAAACAAAAAGTTCCAATTTCTCTAGATTTTTTATGGTTAAAGATAACATAGTAACATAGTACATATTCATAAAGAAAATTTCATGTTTAACAACTTTCTTCTTAATGACTTTTTCGTAAATTGAAAAGATAAAGAGTTATCGAGTCAAATAGTGATAAAAATGCGAAGCAAAAACCATTTATTTTTTATGCTACTGAATTACGAGGACAGATTTATAGGATCTCTATTTATCTTCACTTGGCCGTCATTTTGTATTCCAGCGGTGCTCTCAGAGGTGCGTTTTTCTGATTATATACTATCTTCTTGAGCTTTTCTCCATTTTTAAGCACAATAACTAAGAAAAAACTGTACAACTTTTACTTTTAATCCTACCATCACTAAAAATATTTTCATATTTTAAGTATATTCATACATAAGGAAGTGAAAACAAAAGTTATGATATAAAATATCCGTTTAAAACGATTATTAACATTACGAAAAATTATGGTCGGGTTCAAAATATTAAAGAAAATATAGATTAAACAGAATATACTAATGTTAAAAATAATACGTTGTTGATTTGGCTAATTAAAATAAGAAAATGTAGAAGTGGATTGTTTGAATATATAATTTTTTCTGAGCTCTGTCCAAAATATTTGCCACGGAACACATTGAAAAAAAGAGTTAACATTAATTATTTATTAACTACTATCAATCAGATAATTGTAGTTATATATTATAAATAGAAATATTTTTAAGCCCCCAACATTTCACATGAAAATCCATTTTGTAAATTATGTAGGAGTGAAATATTTGGACAGTTAAACTAACAATAGATAATAATTGTAAAGCACTGTTACGATATGTGGAACTTACATGAGGTATCAAAACATGTCGGACGTTATAGGTGATTTCCGATTTTCAAATTTCTATTTGATATTAATCATTATATATACTTACTTATGATGACAAATAATTTTTCATCGGTCCTGGATCGACCATAGGATCAGGAGTTCTCCTGGGGGCACACCCAGCCTCTAAAAATTGGTTACTCTTAATGAAAATTATTAATTAAGGGCAACACCTGGTGGTTGAGTGTGATCTCGGACAGATCAACTCCCTGCACAATAGTTGGCCTTGAAACAGTACTTCCTTTACAACGTATGGAACACTTAATGAGTTGTAGTCGTGCAGGATTTACAATCATGTCTCCGTTATTTAATTCACAAATCCTTTTATACTTTATCACTATCGTTTATAATATATAACAATTTTTTATAGCTAGTTGTAATATAGAATGGATTATTTGAAAAAAAAACATTTAAATCCTATCAGATTGTGCCCAGTTTCATCAAAATCTAGGGGGGTGGTTATCATACAAAATATTTATTGGGTGCTTCAACATGTCATTATTATTATAATTACGGAATTGATTTAAAACTTACTTTGCTGCAATTGTAGAAATGATGTTGCGACTAGCGCATTGAGGATTCTGTATAGGTTCAGGTTCGAGTCCTTGTGGCTTATTGCAAGCAAATGGATGTGACCTGCCATATTGAGCTTGCGTAATAAAAATTATTTGATCACCACAGTCTATTACCACCCTATGATTTTCGCACACCTTTTTGGTGTCAACTGAAATGAAAATTTTCGTTAGACACTGAATATATACTTGGTTAGACACAAATATAGTATGTTAAACAAATTGTTTTTTCACAAGAGTTGCCAAAGGGTAAAGCCAGTAATTGATTGATGGATAGTATTTAAGTCAAGAAAGGAGTCCCGCTAATCTCAGATGAGGGATAAAGACGTACCATAACACTTCGCTAGGAAGCTAAACTACATTAAAAAAAGTTAAGACGAGAGTAAGATGTTTTTTATAGTTCTTTTGTTATATTTATGGCATCATTCTATTTGTGAATACATAAAAACAATTTAGTTTTACCTCTTATACACATGTAGTCCAATCTTAAAAATTTCCCCATACCAGGGCAAGGATCACCCAAAGCTTTCACGTCAGGCTTTATGAAACACTGGCGTTTATAGTCGCATCTTAAAAAGAATGTTAAAAAAAAAAGGTTTAAAAATTAAACTTATCGAAACTACGTGTATGAAAGTTAATATTCTAATCAGTTCATCAATTTTCATAATATTTGTTTGTATATCTTACTGCCCGCTTATTATATCTAAAGCAACATCCGATGAACAGTTGACTCCAGGGTGTTCAAAGCCACAAAATGCCCATTCTCTTCTGCCCCAAAACACAGCGGTTATATAAATGACTGATGTTTTAGAACACCTTATTCTATGAACATGATTTTTGCAAATGAAACACGTCATTATAAGTCTTGAGTTTACTGAAACAAAATTATATTATAGAAATATATATATAGAATAGAATAATAATGGAAGAATTTTATTCTGGCACAAATTCTCTCTCTCTCTCTCTCTCTCATCTAATCATCAATATCATACATATCTCTATCTACTATATATATATATATATATATATATATATATATATATATGATATTTGGTGCTCTAAAAATAAGTGGAATGAACAGAAATGTTACATTTGTCTGGAATTAGAAGACAATAGAGAAATAATTAATTAAAATAATAAGGTTACATAATTATGTTAATAAACTACAATTAAACTTATTACATTGATTTTACGTTCGTTCATTTATTTATAGAAATTGGCAATATAGATGATATCTATAGGATAACATATGTAGTATACATGTTTCAGTAGGATAACAGTATAATGTGAGTGACAGCTCTTCATCATCATAATCCATCCTCTTGAACCGCCTCAAGCAGTGTGAGGAGGAAGTCTATAGAGCCTTCTCCAGCTCTGTCAGTCTTCCTTCTATCATTTCATTGAAGACCTCTTCTCTGGAAGTCGCTCTTCACTTCATCTTCACATTTACTTTGAGGCCGTCCTCTTTCTCTCTTGCCCTCTACTTTAGCTCGATAAGCTTCGCTAGCCTATTCTATTCGGTTCCATTCGCAGAGGATGTCCTATCCATCTCAGTCGATTCTCTTCTATCATATCATTGGCCGGCTTAATATTGAGATTTGACCTGATGGTGGTGTTGCGTATTCTGTCTCTTGTTTTCCCCTCAATCTTTCGTAGGAATCTCATTTCTGATGCTAGTGTCCTTGATTGTATGATATTTCTTTGTCAGCGTCCATGATTATGAAGAGTACGTTCAAATGGGAAGACCATTCGATCTGAAAACAGCCATCTTTGTTTTCTTTTCCACCTTTCGCCTGTTTAGAAAACCTCTCTTAACTGCTTCAAACATCCTGCTAGCAGCAGCGATTCAGTCATCTCTGAATCTATGTATCCGTTTTCATTAAGGAGTGCGCCCAGGTATTTGAAGTTTACTATTTGTATGAAGAATTTGTCTTCGACTCTGATGACGCGCATATTTATCCTAGGTTTCTTTCCAACCCTCATTACTTTCGTTTTTACAGGGTTAATAATCGTATTAATCTTCCGCAATTCTTTTTTTAATTTATTAATATTGTACTGAAGATTCCTGTAATTGTACGAAAAAATAACAACGTCATTAGCGAATATAAATATTGAGAGGCTCACTGATGTCAGGCTGGCATATCCGAGGTGAAATTTTTGCATTTTTCCTTTAGCCCTTCGTATTAATGAGTCCATCACTAGAATAAACAAAACTGTGGACTGAGACTACAACCTTGCCGGATAGCAATTGTTTTGATTTCCTGTGAAGTGCAGTTGGCAAATCTTACTATATTTCTTGTTTTCTTGTAGAGATTCTCAACCGCCAGAACATTACCTGGATCAAGCCCTTTTTCTCTTAAGGCCTCTAAGATATCAGACATTCTCAACCGATCGAAAGTAGACTTTACAAAAGGGTCAACAAAGCACACCGATATTTCCTCTTCTTCATCCAATATTTTTTCGAAAACTTTTGTCATGGTAAATATAAGGTCCTGGGAGCTATGATTTTCTCGAAAGCCGTATTGTTCTTCTTCTAGTAATCTTTCGATTCTTCTTCTTTATCTTTTCTAAGATCTTGGAGTAAATCTTACTTGGTATGCTTAATAGATATATGCTTCGGTGGATGTTACAATATCTATTATTTCCATTTTTAAAGATAGGAACGATGATGGATACGTCCCTATTTTTCGGTATTTTCTTTTGATTCCACACTAAGTTTAGCAGATGCAGCAGGATTTCTTTTGTTTTCTGCCCCATGTACGTCAGCATTTCAGGAGCTACAGTATCACTACCTGCGGATTTCTTCTAGCTCCATACTCCAGATGGCGTCTTCCAGTTCGTCATCGCCAATAAACTCGTTTTCTTCCACTACCTCTCTTGTCTCTTCATCTACACAGGGTGTCTGTCCCCTTTCATTCAACAGATTTCGGAAGTATGCCCTCCACATTTCCATTACCTCATCCCTCTGCCTGAGAATATTTCCTCCCTTGTCTTTAACAAAGTTCATAGTTGACGCTCTTTCCTTTCTCCAACCAAAATCAAAGCTATTTTACCGAGTCCTCTAGGGATAGTTCTCAGTGAGACCAATGTCAACTTTCTAGGAGCAAGTCCTGTTCAAAGTTAAAAAAAAAAATCTTTATTGAATAACATTACATTAATTCACAGGTAATGTAATGTGCCCTATCTTAGTCTCCACTGGATTCCCATCCCAGTGATGCCGCTGAGAGAGGAGCGCTGGGATCTCTTGGAGTCTTGCCTTGTCCTCCACACGTGGGGGAAAAGGCCCGACTCGGAGCTCCCTCGGCTGACTGTAATTATTGTAAATAAGTATGAATGTGTTTTTATTTATTTATTTATTTTATTTAATGTTGTATCATGATCGATTTATTCTGTTACTCCAAGTTTTATATTATTTTTTTATAATCTTGTTTTTCTTTTATTGCATATATGGTATATTTACTGGAGGCAACCCACACAGGCCTGGCGTAGGACTGATGATCTTACCCCGTGAACTTAATCGGGAATCGGGATTTGGTCTAACGGGATGTTAGTAGCCACCCTGAAGCTCGGTCCATGGACAGCCTGTTTCGGGGAAAAAAATATAGGTCCTCGTGTGCCTGCTGACTCCGAGCAGTCATAATCCATGAATCTAGACCGATTTGGCACTGTCCTTGAACCCGAGTGAGTCGGTGGGAAGGACACTGCCAGAATGGCCCCAAAGGGATCGGCTATGGAGCTATGGGTGGCCTGCCGCTGCACTATGGTAACTATGGGTCGCAGCAACGTGAGGTTGGGTGACTCCCTCCAGGCTATCTGTGCTCCCGCATGCAACATACATCTGTAAGGAGACCACATCTCGCGGCCAAATATTTCCATGATTTGTAGTGCAAACCGAAAAAAAAAAATTATATATGGCTATCTACATGACATAAATGAATAGTTACGAAGTACGTTCTACACACCTTCTGCACAACCCCATCTCACTTGTAAATATTTTTCATATTCTTGGCATGGGTTTAGTAGGGTGTTGTCGTCAAGGTACATAACACATCTGTTTTTACCGTGGCACCTAAAATTGAAAACAATTAATTATAATCATAATTTGACGAAATTAAACATTATTGGTTGACATAGGTAATAAGAAAAAAAACTATAAATAATCATAATAATATACAGAAATATTATACTTATCTACATTAAACATTTTTGGCTATGAGAGTTATATTTTACCTAATATTTATAATTTGGATAAGCACAGACCTGAGCTTACAAAAAGTATATGTTCCAAATTAATTAAATTTATATTAAAAATTAAATAGAAAAATATATTAATATTTTATTTTCTTACAGCCTTGTATCGAATCTTTTTGAGAACCTCCGGGCATAAACTAACATTTTTCATATTACTGGGTCCCTCATATTTATTCTAACATAAGTCCCTAATCAAGTAGATAATCTAGGTCCGTTAGAGCCTATTATTTAGATAGATAATAATAAACTTTATTACGGAACAGATTCCTATAAGAATAGAAAGTGTATTGGCAACTTTCCAAATTTAATTAATTTAAAGGCAAATAACTTTAATGAGTTCAACATAGGCAACATTCGACTAATTTTGGCAGTGGACTGTATTCTGATGAAGTGGTAGGTTATATGAATTGTGTAAAATAAACTTACCCTTTTATGCTGGCATAGTCATCTTACTTAGTTGAGAGGACCCTCCAGTCTGCTGTAGTTGAAGTCTCTGTGAATATCTGCAATCTAATAGAGCGAGTGCATCTGGTATCGAGTGGCATCTTGGATTAAATTTTATCTTTTAGATCTTATCTGATCTATTTTCACTACTCGTCGCAACGCGACAATCGGATATAATAGGTTTCACACGAAACAGCAAGCATGTACAAATGTGCAGAAATCATATCTCACTGTAAATGTTTTTGACAAAATTCATACTTTTTTTTTACTAATACTCAACTATATATGTAATTGTTTAGGCATAGTTGGACGTGATACAATTTGAGAAGGAGTTGGTCGGGGAATGCGGTCAAATAAATATTATATTTTTAAAATAGTAATTTAATCGTTACGCTGACGTTTCATTTGAAACGCTACAAAGTGGTTCGAAACGTAGGCGTAGCGATTAATATACTATTTTAAAATTTAGTGTTTATTTAACAGAACCCCTCGACCAACTCCTTCTCATATATGTTCAGTAAACAAATATAAACTTCTTTCTTTATTCATTGAAATCACATAAAAATTTCTTGTTATAATAATTATTTATTATATAAATTATTATATGATACCAATTATTGTATTATATTATATCATATCTTATTATATTTAGTCCAGTCAAGGAATGAGGTATAAAGTGCGTAAGCAGGGTGTGAACATATCATCATAAGTCCTGACGTCTAGGTGGTGAGTCGGGGGGAGAGAGAGGGAAGGTCATAATTTATATCTAGAAAACGGTGCGTCACACGATAAGATTGCCTGGTAATTAATGAACGTTAATAACATTATTTAAAACTTGTATTGTATAATTTTTATACAATCCGATTATTTATTATAATCTGAATTCTCAACCGTTTTCGAGCTACACGCTTGAAAAAAATATATTTCTGAAGACAAAAAAAATTGCCATTCATATTTTTTACTAAACATTACTTCATATCGACTAAGCTACTCATCAGCTAAAGAAACTCATTTAAAAGAAGTAAGTAAGTAAGTAAGTAAGTAGAGACATAAATTGTCTATTAGAATATATATACATATGTAAATCAATCTCCAAAATCTCCATGAAAGAAAAAATAGACGAACGAAAAATCAGACCCGTTTCTCAACTACCTGTGTTATGAATATCTGGTCTCGCGCACGCCTCTTCACATGAACTTGGTGGTCGCCTATTATGTTTTCATAATACAGATATATCCGATGTAGTAGAATATTAGTCTTTATCTAATAGGCGACCAGAAGTAAAGATAATCCTGTAGACCAATTAGTCTACTACCAATCCTTTTAAAAATCTTTGAAACTATTCTTTTGAAACGAATCCTACCTCTCATAGAATCCCAAAACCGTCCTTGCCGTCAGTTTGGTTTTCGCTCAGAACATTCCACTATTCAACAGGGACTTCGAGTCCTTGAATGATCATGCATATTATATATAATATATATATCAATATTATATATATATTATATATATAAATAATATATGAATATTAGCAGCCCTAGGGAACAATTACTACTGTTCGGGGGTATTTCTGGACATAGCAGAAGCTTTTGACTAGTTATTGCACCCCGGGCTGCATCCTTAAAATCCAAGCTTCAAGCTCGAAATCCATCTCCCTCAGTCCTATATACATATACCTAATCCTTCGATCCTATCTCTCTGACCGCTTCTTTCGAGTACGCTGCGGAACAGCATTTTCCGATATCTATCCAATTAATAATCTATCCCGTGTCCCCCATGGCAGGGTCTGGGGTCCCGTGCTTTACATCTTCTTTACCGCTGACAGACCTGCTCCTTCCGAAACCTTCCTTGCAACATTTGCTGATGATAACGCAATGCTATCATAAAACTGAGATCCTTCAATAGCATCCTTAAATCCACTAAGTATGTGAACACTCTAGCATTAAAGTACCTTTAATATTGTTCATTTCAAATAATTAACTATCTCTCATAATTAAAAGTTACAAAAAAAAAATGCTAAATATAACTTTTGAAAGCATTTGATAATTGTATAAAGGAGAAAAAAATAAAAATGTTTATCTAGGTCGAAAATGAATCCCTGGGTAAACAAATCGGAGGCAGTGAAGACTTTATAAATAATGGTTTTATTCATAATGGCATCTAAAATACAGAGAAATATAATATGGATATATGATTTGACTACATGTGTTCACTCCAGGTCTCCTGCAGTAAAGAGTATGACTCAAGAATGCAACTGCATTAGTGGTTTGGTCTGAAGATCATGGGGGTTATATGCTCAGGAATAGTAGGGGAAGGAATCAATTCTGGACGGTCTAGGAAGCGTATGAATGAAATTATAACTATTAAGAATTGATATCCTTATCTTTTAAAATTGATATGAAGTCTGTGAGAAAGTGCTCGTTTGTTGAAAACGGTTATTGTTCCCTAAGTCTTGATAAGTGTCTTCTGTCCAGTCAGTACATTCTAGATAACTATTTCTAAGCTATCAGAGATAGCTTGACCTGGCTATCTAGGACTTTGGGCTTTTTTATGGTTTGATAAAGGTCATGAGAAAGGTCAATTCATGATTAAATGATTAAATAAAATAAAAGTTAATATTAATAGTTGTCACGGATTAAGTCCATTCCATATCTATGGAAATACTGGCGGAAGGTAGACGTGTAATATATCATTGGAAAGCGGAGAATTTCAGAAAAAATATCTAATATAGGATGTTGTAGAAGGTAACATAGAATGGCAAAAAATTATAAATAATATTTTTTGAAAACTAATAATAGTTAACGTAAATCACATGTGTTCAAGGAAATTAGATTAAATTTACAAACTAAATATATTTAGGTAATTAATTTTGTAAAATGTATTTAAAATCCACCTATTCAAGACAATAGTATTGGTCAAAAAAACTATTTCATTGTAATTCTAAAAAAGAAGAAGTGAAATATAAAATCATTTTGTGGATGTCTAAAGCATTTGTTTATAACCTTGAATACATTTATGGTAGTTAAATAATTCTAGACCTCCGTTTATTTCGAAAAATCATCATGTAACATTTTAGAAAATTAAATTAGTGAATAATTTGATTGTTTCCTCTTGTGAAATGCCAACATTATCATGTCTTCCTCTACAGTATTTTTAATAGGTTTTTAAAAATAATTAATCATCTCAAATTATTTAGAGTTACGAAAAAAATGCTAAATATAACATTTGAAAGAAGAAAGAAGGCAATGAATGGCATTGTTAAAAAAATTATTTTATTGTATTTGTTTGAAAGCAGAAGTGAAATATCAAATCATTTCATGGATGTATAAAACATATGTTTATAAGCTTAAATATATTTCCTGTAGTATAATAATTCTAGATCTGATATTATGTTTAAATAATTAGGTATAAATGTCTGGTTCATCCGAGAAATCGTCATGTAACGTTTTATAAAATTGGACAAGTGAAATATTTGATGAATTTTCCCTTTGTGAAATCCCAACATTATCATCTCTTCCTCTAAAGTACCTTTAACTTGTGTATTATAAATAATAACTACTAGTAGGCCCGTGCGAAAAATTCGCACAGCATATTTTTATCAAATGCCAAATTTATAAGAAAATAAGAAAATGCAACTTATCAAGAGATTAAGACATCAAATGTTACTTTATCGATAAATATAATCCACAAAGCAAACAAAATTTGATTTAAATCTTCATTTTTATTTGGAACCAACATGTATACAAATTTCTGTAAGCTGTATATTTGCTAAAAATTGTCCGATTGCTATGATTTTTTTTCCTTTTGTAGAGAATTTAGTAATCTTTTATATAATTATGGGCATAACCATAATAAATAATAGGAAATTGGTGGCTCAATCTTGAGATTTGGTGAAAAATTAACGATGATATGGCTTGCCGATCAAAAACACCATCGATGAATAATATAAACTCCCCCTCTCTCGATCATAGAGACCTCAAGTCAACGAAATGAGACATGTATTCAATGACAGTACTACAATTAATGTAAGGTTGTGTGGATGCGAATCTTATGTCTTGCGTTATCTATAAAATAGTACGTTTTTCGGCTTAATAACGCAGGATCCGATAGTTTCGGAGGAACTATCCGGGTCTTGCTGTACGCATCAAAATCTTTAAGATCCAATTTGTCCCATATCGATTTACAGACCTACTACCGTTCCAGTACCGAAGCCTAGCAAAATGTTTGTATCGACTTTATTTATTTTAGAAAGAAAAACAAAAGTGGAGAATACGATTCGCTAACCCCCCGTGAAATTCTGAATCCAACGGTACTCCATTAATGGTATTTGAGCATGACAGGAGCTATTTGGTACAAAACCGATTTCGGGCCTTACTGTAAAATATATGTACGGATTTCTCATTGTTGGGAGTTATGAAAAAATGGTAAATATAACTTTTGAAAGAATTTGATAATTGAAAAGGAAAAAAAAATTAAAATACTTATTCTGGTCGAAAATGAATCTCCAGAAATACTAGTCAGAAGGTATGCGCATAATATATCGTTGGAAAGCTGAGAATTAAAACAAAAATCTAATATAGAAAATTTTAGAAGGAAAAAGAAAGTGGCGAAAAAAATATAAACAATAATTTATAAAAGCTAACAATATTTAACATAAATCACTTGTTTTTAAAGAAATTAAATGGAATTTTCTTACTAAATTTATAATTTTAACATTTTTTTTTTGTTTAAAAATGTATTTAAAATCCAAGGATTCAATCAATGCCGTTTTTAAGATACTATTTCATTTTACTTGTTTGTAAGTAGAAGTAATATATAAACATATTTAATGAATTCGTTTATAACCTTAAATATATGACTTCAGTGTAATAACTCGAGATCTGATATAATATATAAATATTTAGGTATCTATCATCCGTTTATTCCGAAAAATCATTATGTAACCTATTAGAAAACTAATTAGTGAATAATTTGATAAATTTTCCTTTTGCAATATTCCAACATAATCCACTTATAATCAGTGTGACAACTTTTAACCTGTCTATGACAGACAATTCAAATCTCTTAATTCCGTTTTAGTAAACTTTGAAATGGAAAATAACAGTTTAATTAATAGTCGTACAATCCATAATTTACGAATCGTACAATCCATAATCAACCAGTGATATAATAAATACGGCTTTTGTTATTTTAATAGCATTTATGATTTGTTAGCTGTAATCTTTTAGCTTCAGCTTAGTTAAAATGTATTTCAAAAATTGTATACTAGTCCAACATGGCCAGAAAATAATTCTTATTCAAAGTTGAGCGGTAAGTGAAAGTTGTGTGTTGCGCGCACCATATTTTTGTTGTTTAGAAATGTCATTTTAATTTTATTATAACATTTGTTTTTTATAAATTTATGTTAAATTAAAAAATTATTATCTTAGTTTAGAAGATTCTAATAGTATTTAATTATAATTGTTTATGTGGAACTTGAGATAATTTATTCAACATTTGTTAACTTTTTCCTATTTTCTTCTCTAATAAATATTATTCTAATTTTCATTTTTTTTTCTTTATGACCCATCCACTTCTTCACTGAAGTGGAGGCAAGTTTTAAGCAGACTGCAGATAGAGGTAACATTATTTCGTCATGGTATTTGGTGTCACCGGCATCTCGAGGTCTCTCTCCTCTAGATTCTTGGTGCTCCTTCCAAGTTCAGTTGCCTTCCTCTCCGGACCATCGTCTAATCTTCAAGGAACCCACTCTATGCTTGACCTCTTCTTCTCCAGAACTGCCTTGTTCCTCTCTCTGACTGGTATTTTTTCCTATCTCTTGCTGCCTGTGTTCACTCTCCTGGGTTCGACACCTCTCAACCACTCTCTCAAGACTCTCCGACTGTTTACTGACGGTCCTTATCTTTATAGCATCCATTAGCAAGAAAGTCCAACAACAGCCAGCGGCCACCTTTCGGGCCTAGGACCTTACTTGCCGCTGGCCTGTGTAACTTGTGGGCTAAAAACTTCCTTTGATTTTATTTTTAGTCAGTTCATTTTTATGAAATCTTTTAAAGCTAGCATCTAGGTTACATACCAGTATATATGGTATTTGTACAATCAAATTGGAATCAAAAACAAGTTGGAGGGTGAGGAAAATAAAAAGCTTCTTGAAAATAGCTTCATTCGTGCAGGAAATCAGAACGCATATTTGACGCCTAGTGTCGGCGCATGGTTATTGTTGTGGATTTGATTGAATTCGAAGTTTTATAGTTATCAGATAAATTGTTAAGTGCTGAATAGAATCGCGTATCGCTACTGTCTTTGCAAAATGTCTCATCTAACAATTTTACATTCCTATTATTTTTGTACGGAAGGTGACAGATAGTTTTAGTCTGTAATGTAATAAGTCGTCTGCTACTATGGAAAATATACGGGATAAACAAAATATGAAATTATACTAATTAATCATAAAGATATAATCACTTTTTATGCTCTCCTGTAAAAAAGAAAACCCTAACCGTAGGTTTATGTACTTTTAAAAATATATCATCAGTTTTGTTTACTTCGTTATGTAATAGAGGACGGGATGCCATTGGGGCGTGATTCACAGAGTTTCCGGTTCTGAACGTTGTGAGTTCGAATACCACCTGCGACAGTTAATTTTCATTTATCGGCGGTCCCTGGAAATGGATCCTGACATTTACACTTTGGTAAGTACCCGGTGGCAACCTCAAGGTATCCGTCAGGTGTTGGCAAAAAGAACCACGTTAGGCCCACTTGCCGGACTAGTTCCCTCCACCAATTTTTTTTTTAAATCTGTTAATTAAATAATAATACAATCAGCCACTGCTGGAGGGCTATAAGCATTAGGGCTAAAACTTCTCATTCATACAATATATACATAATAAAGAAATAAATATAAACATAAGAAGTAAATAAATAATACTGATGAAGATGTTAAATAAAAAGAAAAAAATAAACAAATAAAATAAAATAAAAACTTCTAAACACAATCACATCTTTATATACAATATATACATTCGCCCAAGAATCTCCGAACCAGGCTTTTCCCCCCACAAGTGGAAGGCAAAGCAAGACTCCGGAAGATCCCAGTGCCACTTTTCCAGCCGCATCACTAGTATTAGAAACCACCAGTATTAGTTATTTAATTATACTATAGTATACTATGGTCTAAAAATTGTTATTAATTAGATTAGATTCAATAATATTATTTATATTTTAGAAATAAATAGACTAGATTATTGGATTGATTTATCGCATACTCTACCTTTCTCTTATTCTATAAAGAGTGTCATCCAAGGTCGAACAATTTCTTGAAAAATTCGGGTAATTTTTGCAGGTGGTTGTGTCAAATCTGCCCCATATCGCTTCATAGATATTTATTATCTTTCCAAAACCACATTCTAAGAGCATGGTTGTGAATTGACATAGAATCTCCCATCTGCCTAAAGTAAAAAAAAAAAAATAATAATAATTAGAATAGTTTGGTAATACCTTCTATTATTTCGGAAGTACTAACTTTTGTTTAGCAAACATTTCTTTCTAGTATGATATTAAACCAAAGATTTCTGTTAAAGATTTTTCAAAAAAATATGAATTTGTGTAGATAATTATTTAGAAAATTTATACATGAATTAGGTTGATTCTTTTTTCTCTGGTTTAAATTAAATATTAAGTAAAGATACTTTAAATCATCCAAACAGTTTCATTTTTCCTTCGTTATTGACGTTATATTAAGCAATGTGACGAATTTATAAGCAAAAATAATCCTATTGTTTTTTTTCCATTCTACAGTATAATAAATTTTTTATTTTAAAATACAATCATTTACGTTTTTGAATGAATCTTGGGTGTGATTCCATTAATTCAATTATTACAATAACATAGGGTTAGAAATATATATATAAATAAAATAAAGATTTTGTCTGTTCATTGAATAGAATCAATCTATATTATGATATATTTCCTATACATCCTATGATATACATTGCAGACACCAAATCCACATTTAAAAGATGTTTGTCTGGATGTCCGCATTGCAACGAAATTTTGTCAGCGATAAGCTCAGCAATGGCTTATTGTAGACTTTTGAAATCTTGACGTTATATTAAGGTTTGCTTGACTTAAAATATAGGCTTTAAATGAAAACAAAATATTAAGTAGAACTAAAGTTATGAATTCTTGAGTAATATGTCTAGAGATCTCGGTTAATGTTGATAATAAATGTTAATAATAAATACATGTTTATAGGGTAAAGATCATTTATATAAATGAAATGAAGGTTTTTTTGTACATTGAATATAATCAACCCGTTTCATGATATCTTTCCGTTCCATACATTACAGACACCAAATCCACTTTTAAAAGATGTTTGTCTGGATGTCTGCATTGTCCAACGAAATTTTGGCAGGGGTGAGCTCGGCATTGTCTAATGGTAGACTATTGAAATTTTGACCTTATATTTAGGTTTTCTTGACTTAAAATATAGGCCCTAAATTAAAACAGAATATTGAGTAGAACCAAAGTTAGGAATTCTTGAGTGATTTGTCTAGAGATATCGGTTAGACAGTTACTTACTTCACTTCGAGCGACATTTAAAAGTTGTACTACTCAACTGATATAAACAATTATCACAACTCAACGGGAAAAATCCGGAATACCGAACATCTGTAACACGTTGCTGCATAAAACGGGTAAAACACTCATTTTTTCAACTTTGTTATTCGTTTTAACTTCCCCAGCCTAACAAATGTCGTATACATTTTTAGGATTATCCAAATGTAATCAGGAAAAAAAAATTCCCAAAAATTGCACCACGTCCGCCATAATATTGAGATCAAGTTCTAATTTTACACGGATGTAGGCGACTGTTATACTGTGGACGGAAGTAGGTACAATGTTATTTTGACAGCGATAAACTGAGCAGAGTTTAAAGAAGTGGAGAGACTACAACTCTTTTTGATTAATTAATCGACTCCACAATCTCCTCGCTTCATCATAAATGAAAATTAAACACTTAACAAATTCTAATGGATCGGTGGTGAGCGGTTTAGTTGTGTGGTACCTAAGCAAATAGCCGAATAACAAAGTTTTTGTTTTGACCATTGCGAAACCTTGACTTCCATAAGCCACGACATAAAAAATTTTCAAAACAACCTTCCTTCCCCCTCCCGACCCAATTTTATGAAATTGAATTTGGGTCACCCCGCTGATATCTCTCCTTATAGATCTAGTATCTCACCTCATCCCCCCTTTAAAAAATCCTTAAATGAATTTCATCAAACCCTTATCCATTCCCCTTTGGAATGCGAATGGTGTTAGAAACCACACTGACGAACTAACAGCTTTATTACTAGATAAGAACGTCGATGTAGCCTTTATTACGGAAACTCGTCTGACCAAAAAACACATTTTAAATATACCTCAGTACTCAACATATCGTACTGACCATACAGACTTTAGAGCACATGCAGTCATTGTACACCAATCCCTCCCTCATAATCTACTCCCATTATCTACTCACGATTTTCTACAATCCACTGCTTTCATAATAAAAATCTTCTCGTTCCCTATTACCCTAGCATCAGCGTATTGCCCTCCAGACCAATTCACCTCTAATATCCAGTTTAGTACCTTCATCAATTCCTTAGGATACCATTTCATCCTGGGTGCAGAATTAAACGCCAAGCATCAGCAATGGGGTTCAAGGACTCCGAATTCTCGAGGTCAAACACTGCTTTCTGCACTCAATTCCCAACATTTTAATTTCGCTCCCCCGAACCCACCTACTTACTGGCCCACTGATCCTAATCGTTATCCCGATATCCTTGATTTCTTCATCCATAGTGGTTTAGGTCCCCTCAACTATTCCATTGCACGCCTTGATGAACTTTCCTCAGACCACAGTCTATTAATATTCCAAGTATCACTAGCTCCTATTCCTAAACCCTTCCCACCGTCCTTCATCAGAGGCCCAGTCAACTGGAAACTCTCCCATCAAATCCTTTCCGATCAAATTGACCTCAGAATAACCCTGAAAACCCCAGAAGACCTTGACAATTCTGTACATTCCTTAACCACCACCATTCACTTTGTGGACCCAGATGAGCAAAGCTTAGACAGTGTGAGAGATCATGGCTTTCTTTGCATAGAGGCCACATTCTCGTTGGAGTTTGGTCTTTAATTTCGGTTTGAAGCTGTCCCGACTAGTTAGTTTGATATGGGCCTCTCTTTTATTGTTCATGGAGACACTTTGTTCAACTGTATGAGATGGAATTTGTCCTGAGGTAGGCTCATGCAGAGTCACAGCATTATATTTTATGGAGTCACGGTTCGGAAATCTTGAATTTTTCTTAAATACATTAGGCCTTTTTGATTCTTTCTTTCGAGATGAAAAGTTGCGAGCTAACTTCAGGGCAGTATGTCTTTTGGGGACAAACTTCAACAGAAGAGGGGAAGCCATTGATTACATCCCTGGTTATAAGATTTCTTGCTTTAAGTCTGAGACATTGGAAGGCTTCTATATTATCAGCAACTGTGGAGATAAATGTGGAATGCCTCTTTTCTTCGTCCTTTATACCCTGCGTATCTGAAGTTGAGCCCTAATTTCATAATCTTGAATACTTTCTAGCCTTAAATAATAAAACTATTAAATTCATAAAAAAAAAAGAGTACCTTAAAGACAAAATATTGGATATAGAAAATAATAAAATCAAAACAACGTAAAAGACATGTACAAATATATAAATAAATCACGTAAATGTTTAGGACTCATAACACTTGGAATTAGGGATGAAAATAAAAATACCCTCACTAACCCTGTGGATATTTTGTATAAGTTTAAGAAACATTTTTAAAATATTTTCAATATGAGAAATAATGATCTGTGTTCTCCTTCTGAGTTCCAGGGTACCGAACCGTCAGTAAAAGAACTAAATAAATAGGAAGTTGAAATAGCTATCGGAAAACGAAAATTTTATAAAGCATCGGGAACCGATGATATTCCTAGTGAACTAATAAAGACATGGAGTGAAGCTAGAGTTTATAAAATACATTTTTTGGTTGAAAAGATATGGTTGAATCGGAAATTATCTGAAGAATGGAAAGAATCAATTGTTATCACTATTCACAAAATGGGCTCGAAGAAGGATTTCCCTCCTTCCGGTATTTTATAAAATATGCACATTAATTAAAACTAATCGAAACAAGGAACAAGCCTAGGAAATTATCGGTTACTATCCATAACGGGAACCGTTCGACTATTGATCAAATATTTTCTTTACGACAAATATTAGAAAAAAAAAATAGTACCGATATCGATTTCAAAAAGGTTTATGATTCCATTGACCACCAGAAGCTGTATAATATTCTAACCGAGCAGGGGATCCGAAAAAAATCGTGAATGAGCTTGACGGAAACACTCCATAAAGTTAGAATCGGTTATTATTTATCCAAGAAATTTGAGATTCGTTCGGGTTTAAAACAAGGTAATTCTCTATCACCTGTCTTATTTAATTTGGCATTAGAACATGCCGATAGAGAGGTGATACATACCGAAAAAGGTTTGTATCGGGGTGGAACAATACCCATGCTTAGGGTATGCTGATGATTAGGTACTGTTAAGCGAAGACATAGAAACAAAAAACTATAGAAATACGTTGATGGAAGCCGGTAAAGAACTAGCACTCGAGATAAGTACAGATAAGGCAAGATATATGGTTAGCTGCAATTTCGATGATGTCGATATAGATTTGAATGTTTTTGAACAAGTACAGAATTTTAGGTAGCTAGGGTCTACGATAACTATAAACAAACGAAATCGAAGAGGATATTAAGGTTAGGTTGAAGGCGGGAAATGATGGTTATTTATCTTTGTCAAAACTACTTGGTTCTCGCTTCTGTCCTGAAACTTAAAAATTAGAAGCCTACGATTCTGTGGAAACTGTCTTTGGAAAATCACGAACTGGGAATTCCCGCTAAGTTGGTGAGCTTGACCAAGGCGTAGACAAATCAACCCAAATGTAGAGTCCTTCTTCTAAACAAGGAGAAGTATCTGAAGCCTTAAAAGTTCGAACGAGCTTACGGCAGGGAGATGGACTATCACCGATGTTGTTCAACTTAGTTCTGGAGAAAGGAATAAGAGCAACATCACAAGAAAATGGAGGTGTCCAAGTCGGCATGAATCGTAGAATCCGTGGATACGCCGATGATATACCTATTCTTGGAAGTAATCAAGAAGACATTGAGATACTCTTTACAACACAGATAAGAGAGGCAGAGCAGATCGGCCTACAAATAAATGAAGACAAAACAAAACATATGATAATAGGCCGAAAATCCCACCCCAATAATAGGATATGCGTAGAAGGAAAATCATTCCCGAGAGTAGAACGATTCAAATACTTCGGCTCCACAATAACCCCAATCAATGACCAACGGGCAGAAATAGACCAGCGTATAACAAGCGCAGAGATTTCTTCTCCCTCTCCAAAGTATTAAAATTCCGAAAAATCTCAAACTAAGGATGAAGGGGCTATGATAAAGCCAGTTCTAATATATGGATGTGAGGCCTGGACACTAACTAGCACCCTAGAAAAAAGTGTTGAAAGATTTAAGAAGAAAATCCTCCGCAAGATAATCGGAGCGCTCTGGGATCGAAGTACTAATACATGGAGAACAAAGACCAACAAAAACTGCTTACAGAAACTGGTCAATAAATATCTTGTAATATGAAGGCACGGAGGTAAAGATAGGCGGGGTATATAGCTCGTTGCAATCCATCTGGAAGCCTATATGTAACAATGAATGCCTCAACAGAAAGCTAAAGACCACGTGGACAAGCAGATCTATAGATATAATAGAATCAAAATATAAAAATACAGAAAGATACAATAGAGCTGCGTGCACATAAATGAAAAGAAATGGCCCAAGGCAGCCTTGTTAAAGCGGCAAAAGATCTATATGGTCTGTAATGCCAACACAAAAAAAAAAAAAAAAAAAAAATAATGAAACTACTAAATTCATAAAAAAAAGAAAAAAAAAAGGAGTATCTTAAAAACAAAATAATGGATATAGAAGATAATAAAATCAAAACAACGTAAAAGGCATGTACAAAGATATAAATGAATAAATAAAAAAATGTTTGCATTTTTTATTTATTTTTGTTAAATTAATTTAGAAGTTTGTGTCTGTTTTATGATCCCTGATGAAGCTCAAAACACTCTTAAAAAAATATTCCTTCCTGTAATCCATTCGAAATTCTATAAGAATAACAAATAACATACAGTATTAGTCTTCGCTAGCCGATTGGTTGGTCTGTAGATTATTAATATTCAGTGTATTATTTAAAGCTAATAAAACAGTGTTTAAAGTCTACAATTTTTGAACTATTTAAAATTAAAGAAACCTTTTTTAAGGCTAGAAATGTTGGTGGGGAATGGGCACCGCCCAATATTGGCTTTTTATATCTACTTACTACGTTTTACTTCGCGGTTTAATGGCCAGAAATAACTTTTACAACCTCTAGGTCTCTTTCTACATGTCCATTTCTAGACCTAACTTCTACCTTTCCGACATCAGAGTACCAGTCATTACTGCCTCCTGTAGTACAAGAAGGAATGTTTTGACTGCATCCTGAAGAAGACCTACTAGATAGAACCGATGGATAATGCAATAAAGATACTATTATATAATATAGTCATTTTTGACTAAACACACAACTAACTTCTGAAATTAGAATCTACGGACAACCATCTCTATATCATTAAAAAAATATATAGCAACAGAGTAGAAGTTTTCATATATTCTTAACTAATACATATCGATTAGTCAAGAATATTTGCAAACTTCTGCTCTGTGCATTAAAAAGATGAACTAGTTTAATTTAGTAAGGCATTTTTTAGATAGACTGTTTGTATAATTACCTTTTTCTGGATTGTCGACAGGGACACCGGTGGTGTTAAAAAGGGGAAACTTCGGAAGGGACTGACAAGGAAAATATTGCATCTGGCCACAAAGGAGACAATCAACGTCGCATATAGAAGTAGTAGTAGAATAAGTTAAAGCGAAAGTGAATATTGAAGTTGCTGGAGTTGATATGCTTTCAATACTGGTTAAAGTGGTTGTAAATGCCGGAGTAGATGTGCCTTCAGTACTGGTCGGAGTAGTTGCTAGAGCTTGAGTAGATATAACCTTTGTACTGGTTGGAGTGATTGTAACATCTGGAGTGGACGTAATTTCATTACTGCTTGGGATGATTGTAAGATCTGGAGTAGTAATTGTAACAGCCGAAGAAGGTGTACCTTCAGTCCTGGTTGGAGTGGTTGTAATTGCTTGAGTTGATATACTGTCAGTACTGGTTGAAGTGGTTGTAACATCTGGAGGTAATGTGCTATCAGTATTGGTTGGAGTGGTTATAATAGCTGAAGTTAATTTACTTTCAATTGCATTTGGAGTACTTGTAACAGCTGAAAGAGGTGTACTTTGAGTACTGGTTGGAATGATGGTAATAAATGGAGTTAATATAATTTCGGTACTGGTTGGGATGATTGCAAAATCTGGAGTAACTATACCTCCAATATTAGTTGGAGTAGTTTTAATTTCTAGAGTTAATGTATTTTCAGTACTAGTTAGAATAATTGTAATAGCTGGAGTTGATGTACTTTCAGTAGTGGATGGAGTGATTGTAACAAATGGAGTTGATGCACTTTCAGTACTGGTTGGA